ATTAAAAGAAAGGAACTCGTTAAAATAATCATATCTGTGTTACTACATAAACATTTTTGAATACGATAAGTTTAAATTTATGCAACTTTCTATTTAATGGTGTTTCGAAAATGGTTATTTTAGGGAAATGCTAATATTTTAATATGTTCTCGTACTAATACAACCTAATATTCATTTTTTCAGGGTTAAACTATTGGCTCAAGCACAACATGTTGTACCCATTGAAGTATTGTGATGTATACAAATATACTGAGTCAAAAAAGAAACTTCACATTCTTTCTTCAGGGCACTATAAAAGAACAAGAGATGGGAAGATGGTTAAATTGTTATTATTTCATTGCTGAGATCTGTGTGATGTACTCGATACACTGACAGTGCCATTATCAGTTCCATTAGGCTACACCGCCGTTCCAAAACATGGGTATACAGAATGTCAAGTCACAAGAATAAAAATGCGAAATTTCTCAGTTCAATATCGTGTATGGCCGCCCCGCGCATTCACCACTGCCAAACACCGTCTCCTCATCGACTGCCTGATGCTTGTGAACACGTGGTTGGGGATTCTGCGCCATTGCTCTTGCAAGGCAGCGCCAAGTTCCTGCAAATTCTGAGGCTGGTTCCTAACACCACGAAGCCTTCTCCCAAGTGCATCCCAAACGTGCTCTATTGGATTAAGGTCAGGGGACCTCGATGGCCAGTCCATGACGTTGATTCCAGCGTTTTGAAGGAAATTTCGTGTCAACATCGCGGTATGCGGCCGAGCATTATCATGCTGGAACTGTAGACCTGGGCCATGAGCCGCCATGAAAGGAACGAGTTCAGGGGTGAGCACCTGGTCGCGGTAAGCAGCAACTGTGAGCTTTCCACGGATGACCGATTTCGAATGGTCTGTGAGGACAGTCGACCTCTAAACATCTCAGCCCTGGTTCGTGTAGCCGGCAGAAATCTGTCACGTAGGTGACGTAGGACGATTTGACGGTCTTCTACTCGTGACGTCACACGTGGACGACCCGACTTTGGGCGATCAGAAGTGGTGGCAGTTTGTTGTAGACGACCTCGCAAGTCATACACAGTACGACGTCTGCATCCGATTGCTCTTGCGACGTCAATAACTGATCTTCCCGCTTGCAACATGCCAACGGCACGTTCACGTTGCACATTTGACAATCGTGGCGTTTCAGGTACCGTTAGAACTGTGGTTCAAAAGTGTTTTTTCAATTCTTGAGGCCAAAGCAAACACGTGCATATGAAGAAACTTCGATGCAAAGATCACGTGATCGACTGCTCGTGCAAAACCTGAATTGCCACTAACGTCATTTGCACGACGAATGGATGGGTTTGAGTGGGTTTTGCTAACGTTTTTCTAGAGTCGAAAGATAGGAAGCCCATTTCTGATACATAGATGTATCATCAGAGAAAAATTATCCATTATTTTTCAAATTACGTTTTGTGAAGTTTCTTTTTGACTCAGTATAGTAATGTACTGGACTAGAAGAGGACACTGATAACTAAATATGACTCTATAACTGAATTGTGTGTAGTATAGGAACTTTAAAATGACAGATATAGGACTCGGTTTGTTTACCTACCTATTCCTGAAATCATATGCTACATGTAGCCACGTGCAGATTGCCAAGGTGACGCATTTAGTTTCACATTTATCATATGGCTCTACAAGAAAGACTGATACATATTTCGTTACAAACAACATTACCTCAGGAATACAATCCAAAATCATTAAAGCGTTGATGTGTGCAATATTTAAATAAATACTACAACAGAAGTCTTAAAACAGATAACACGATGAATACAATGGGTTGGAAACAATTACCAGAGAAAGTGCGTGCTTTTGATCGTGAGTGAGTGAGTGATTTGCGCCGCTATAATTAATAGTCAAGTTCTGCCGCAGTGGTCATATCAACAGTCACGTCTTAACCAGTCGGTTACCATGCCCAGAGTGTCACATGCATTGGGTTTGGTAATGATACTAGGTGAGACGAAATAATTGAACTGTGCAAACTTCTGTGGAGTAGGCCAATATACAGCCTCAGAAGAATTCCAGCCAACAAACCTGATCTTGTCCTTTTTGATAAAGCCAAGGAACTTATTTATATCATTGAAGTTCCTGTCCTTTTGACAACAATGCGATTGACAAGATTCAGGAAGAGCATGATAAACATGCGGACCTCGCCTTTGAAATGTTTCGCTTGCATCCCAAGTACACTGTCGTCAGGCTCCCCATTGTTCTCGGTGCCCTTGGTTTGGGTACCTCCTGATCTCTTGGCGCAGATCAGGAGAGTGCCAGAGTTCTTCATCAGAATTACAGCCCTTCTGACACTCTGGGTAATGCAGAAGGCTGCAGTGTTGAGGAGCCTTCATCTTCTCCGGAAAGTTCGACTAGTTGGTGGGTTCGACTAGGCAGTGTTTCCTGGGAGAAGTCCATTCGCATTCTGGGCTGCGTGTAGAGGGGGCAGGGCCCTGAGCTAATGATGAGCCTCACCAGCCTGACTGTGCCAGGATCACCCGAACCCTCTCTGTTGCATTTTCATCTTTAATCTGAAAAAAACATAACAATAATGTTCGCGCCTAGAATCCAACGCAATGCTGCTCACTGGTGTTACATTATTACCTGCTACTAAGCGCTAATTCGCGCGACCGTATAGGTCCGTGCATCCGCTTCTCAGGTACCCACTTTGAACAGCTGGGTGGACTGATTGCAATGTGGACGAAGTGCCTTTCCCAGGGACACAACACAGTATGAGACCCAGGTCACAAATTTTGGTGTCTCAAACGGAGATTCGAACCCGAGCCGTTGGCATGAGAGGCCAGCATGCTAACCACAAAGTACATAATATATACTAACACATCTAGATAAATAATTCTGTGATACACCGTGATCTCTCTGTCCCTTCACTCAACAATAAGCCCGATGTCCCTGCCAGAGATTGTGTCAGGTTAGCATGGTTGTACCAGAATATGCATTACTAGACTCAAGACCTATCCTTGAAGGAATTATTGCTTTGTGATTATTGTGTTAATCTTCAAGTTCCAGAATGTTATGTGGAAGTAATTTCATACAGCTAGATTCGGTAGTCCACATATTCGTATCTCATGTCAGTGGCAGCATGTGGGGTTTATCCACAATAAGTATAAGCTAAAGTTGTCTACCTTTAATGTTAACCTAAAAATGGTTAATCTTTCCAGATGTCCCCGGATTGGACAAGCTGGCTGTAAGACATTGTTTCGAGGCCTCCTCGACTTCCATCTAATGTCGCCTGCTAATTGCAGTTTTGATATTTGTTTTGTAAACAGTATGTTTCTTTTATGGCCATTTTAGCCAAATCACTTACATCAACCGTAATGTCATCAAGATGGCAGATTACGATGTCTGTATTATAATTTGTGTGTAAGGCTTATGTGAACCATGGCCTTGGAAAATACTAAATTGTGATGTTTCAAATGACAATAACAATCCCTGATTGAGACAGTTCATTTTATTCTGTGTAATCAGTTTCAGATTCTATTTAGCTCAATCAAATTGTTAACTAACCCAGCTCGACGATAAAACACACCATATGTTTATCGATTGAGCAATGTCACACTCTAAATCTATGGCGGCATTCTTTAACCATTCGGTCGTCATGCCGGAGATCCGGGTTGGATTCTTCACATGGGTACACTGTGTGAAGCCCATTTCTGGTGTCCCCCGCGGTGATAATGCTGGAATATTGCTGAAAGCGGTGTAAATCTCAACTCACTCACTCAATCATAACGTAATAATAGTTGCTTGTGTTTCACTGTCCGCCTCTTCACAGTTCGATATCTAGCACAGGGACAATGTTCACTCACTCATAACACATATTTGTGATATGTTGTTATGTTTCCAAGCAATCAGCGAATGGTATAACCGTTACCGGGAATTCATGAATGTGAGCCGTACTACTAGTATGGTGTACTTGTTAAACTTTGTTTTCGTTTGTTTGTCGTTTAACACCGCATTCAGCAATATTCCAGCTATGTGGCGGCGGTCTGTAAATAATCGAGTCTGGACCAGACAATCCAGTGTTCAACAGCAAGAGCATTTATGTACGCTATTGGGGTACGATGACATGTGTCAACCAAGTCAGCGAGCCTGACCACCCGATCCCGTTAGTTGCTTCCTATGACAAACATGGGTTGCTGAAGACCAGTTCTAACCCGGATCTTCACGGGTACGTGAGTGAGTATGGTTTTTGCAGCTGTTGTAAGTGTCTAGGGAGGTTACACCTTTTGGTGAACGTTGATTGGCTGTTTCAGAAAATAAACAGCCAATCACACGCGTAGGGATATGGGAAATCCCAGCATCGCGGGTTTTCTCATAGAGAAACTGATGTTTTCATTTGAGCGCTTTTTAGATCGAAAACTGATATGTGAAATAAAAATACAGGCTCGAGAATTATCTAATCAATATAGCTCGGGAACGATAATCTGTCATTCCCCGTCACTCGTTAGTTATCGTCAAAAACATATTAAAAGCCAAAAACCAGCAGTCCATGAAATCTTCAATACATTAAACTTGTCAATATGTATCAAAAATCTAACTTACAAGGAGTGAATCTGTAGTGAGCTTTTTGTATAATATAGCATTTCTATTCTATACTCAATACATACTAAGACCTATAACCAACACCATAGCAGCTACAACATAGAACGGAGCCATGGCTCTAGCTCAACTATCTACTCCTTCAGTGCTATCGGGGTTTGTTTACACGCCCTACCAACGTATGCGTGGACCGCGAGTCAATGACGCTTGACTGTTATGTTCCTCGTGTGAGGTAGAACCCCTCTATGGTTACAGTACTGGTATGCCGTAGTGAGTAACACAACAGATTTCAGGTCATGGATAGACAACCCACAGACTGACTACATTTATCTGTTCAAGCGTATGCGATCTTACTTGGGATATTGATCACTCCTCGCTGGAGCGAAATGGACAGGTGTGATGGCAACAAAGTGTGAAGATATAGCTGTATAGAGTACACCATGTATACCGCGTTATATCGAAGGAAACCAGGACAGTCGTCCGTCGCAAGTAACATTCTCCTAAACCCCACAAGCAATGCAAGGTAAGAAAGGATTCTTATTCTCATCGATCTCATTTCCTTCCATATTTTAGCACAGTGGCACAGGACCAAAAACCGGATAGTAAACCATTGAAATAAACGTAAATACAGTAGGAAATACATGCCATGACCGGATTTACGTATGTTTTCAGATATTTCCTCACTTTGGGTATATATTTCATATGAATCTATACCTTTGAAACATATGCTCATCGTACATTTTCGTATGCACAAGAACCTCGTTCATGTATGCTATGACCGGATTGTCAGGTGTTTCCAAACATGAATTGCAAAACAGATACCCCAGTAAATACATGATCATACAGTATTTCCGATACATTCCTTTGAATTTCATTGGGTGCTGAAATTTACGATTTCGTTCTAAGTTTACCCAGGTTGGAAACATGTAAATTTACTTAGGTGGGGAAACACTTGTAAATTTTCACATGTGCAAATGTTTACACACCTTAGATATTTATGTATCATACCGGATTTCAGGGTTATGTATATGAACGGTTCATACACCTTCATTCTACCTGTGCTCAAGCAAGATGATTATTTGTTTCCATCATGTGAATTACTTGGTTCATGTAATTTCATTTTCACACATTTTAGTACGTTTGAAATCAACGTTCACGTGACCTCATTATTCTTATCATCAAAAGAGCCTGACTAAGAAAGCGGTATTACGCAAGCTAACATGGCTTATTAAGCTGCGCTCGCACTTGTTGCCAGTATCAGTTACGCTTTGTCTGCGGTGTTGGCAAATCTTGTTAGTGGTGAACAAAAGGGCGATGAGCTGCCCCTTCGTCCTTGCAAGTGTCCCTAGCTGTCCCAACAGAATAGCACTTTATCTCTCTTGTAGTCTGTCTCACAGTCCCTGAACCACATTATTTTCCCTGCTGCCAAGCCCTCTCTTCAGTGCTAAAGCTCTAAATAAAGCAAGTCTAGATTTCCACAGGTTCTGAATCTCTAGTCTCCCTGGGGCTCCTTTCCAATTTAAATGGGCTTGTTTGTTACTGTCAAAATTATATATATTCAGAGACTAAGCATTAGTCTATCTCTCTTTGAGCAAGGCTACACGAACCAACTCGTAATTTCTTAAGTCTCTTCAGCTCGCGCATCAGTAAAATAAGTTTTGGCAGTACATAATTGGAATATTATTGCACTGCATGTGACCTTTCTTAATAGTCTCACAGTGCCTGAACCATGTTATTTCTCCTTCCGCTCAGCCTTTGCTGTAATAACGCCACACAAAAAATAGTTTTTATCGTGTAGCGATTATGTCCGGATGGCACAGGTGGGTGCGTTCTCTGAGTATACCATTGGCATGTTGGGCCTCTGTGCCTTTTGTAAAATATGTCTTGATTGTCCTGTTTAAATTGACGATCCATAAACCCAGAGTCCGAAATCAAATGTCACACAAGTAAATGTGATGTTGCATTGCTGCAAATTTCCATGTCGGAGAAATCCTTCTAACAAGATATATATTCCGTTGTTTGGAGCAGGCCTATGACTATTACGCCCCGGTGTTGCTAAACATCTTGCAGACCTTTAACCTGACATAGACGCAGACCTCACATGTTCAAGTTCAGATCTGACAGGTGCCGAAAATATTGATTCCGGCAAGAATGCAATATCTCAGTGGGTTATTGTTTTTCTAAGTAAGTGTAGTGCTTTCTACAACATTGGAGATAATGGTATCGTTGTCCTCCTGATATTCCCCCGAACGGAAGCTCTACCCATTTATGGTACAATGTGTAAGTTACAGATTTGTAGGGAATAGTCTTAAGACTTTTCTACTTTGACCAGGATTCTTCGAACTTTCAACAGTCGTTTGAGAAGATCAAGAGAGAAAGGGGTAGTGTGCAATGTATCTGGCAGACGTATATGGAGAAAGTTCGAAGAATGTTTCTGTATAAATACAATAATAGAAATACCGGTTATGTTTGAAACGTACCCTCAATCTGATAGCCAGTGAGATTATTGTGAAAGATCGCAATATGTATCATCATAAACGGGCCCAGATAAAAGTACATGTCATTCATTCCCACATTATATCCCCTTTATAGACACGGGACATAGTTGTTACAGGTAGGGCAAACACTTTCTTCTATAGGTATCTGCCTGTTCTCCTCCATCACACATATAATTGTATAAATATCCAGTGATTAGGGACAGCGCTGCAGCAACTTATTGAAATTTACGACATACACTATCATCTGCAGTAGTACTGCTATACCCAGCATCGTATTTATTTCTCTCTTACATAAGGTGAAATGTCACAGGGTTGTCATGGTAACAATAATTTGGCATACTATTTATTGTCTTATTCTTTTATCTGCGATTAGAATTTAAATCAGTTTTGGCGTGAGCATCTTTAGAGATAAGAAGCTGTAAAACGAATATTAATGTGATCGAACCTATAGGCCTTTGTCAAAGCGCGTTTCAAGCCACCTACATAAAAAACCTTCATGATAAATATCTGCTAATCCATGGCACGATTCCAACCATATCATGAGCATGTGTTTTTCGAATCATAATCAAATAGTGATGTTACGAGACGTCCATGCCGCGTCAACAACACATGGAAACGCACGAGAATTGCAATACGGGCCCCTAAACCACTGATGCTCCGTGACCTGGAGACACAATTCATGTGATTGAGCGTATGTAGGCAAAAGACAAAATGGATACTCGTGCTGTTATGCTTTTGAATTATTAAGTATTCGTTCTTGTCACGGGATACAAGTATACTTTCCAGTTTCAAACAAATGTACATTCGAAGGATATCGAAATCTAGGTTAAGCTATTGGAATCATATTTACAATTAAAAGACTCAAACAATGGTCTGTTGTCCAAATATTTTGATTTCCATATCTTGTCCCAATCTGTATCCAGAGACCATACAATAGTCTATTATATAGTCTCTGTTTTATCATAGTCAGAGAACGATATTATTTTCCCTTCCGCCCAGCCCTTACTGTAATGCTTACGCCCTAAATGAAGCATATCTAGATATTCCCAGGTTCAGCGTCTGTTAAAACTCACTGCAGGGTTCGGGTTACAGAGTAAACAATACCAAACACCGGCGGCTGGCGGGGACCAACATCTTCAGTAACAATTACATCTGCCAACGCTTAAGTCGCAAGTGGTGAGGCAATACGCTAATGAGGCTAAGGGTCCTGTACTATGCTTGTGAAATATCTATGATGCCTTATATGAAGTCTATAATCTAAGCAAGTCTAGCTATGTATGGCTTTAAGTCACTGCTTGAAGGAAAGCTCCTTTAGAATTTGATTTGGTAAATATTAGTATTTCACTGACTCAATCACATTCGAAAACGCGTAGCAGCCTATAATTCATTGTGACTATGATTAAGCCATCACTGTAAAACACAAGGGTTATTTCCTTTGAGTTAACTGACAGGCTTTCGGTATAAAATATTTAGAACTCCAGCCAAAGGTGGAAATATGGCGTTTTTGTAATGCTTTTGTTGCACTTAATGATAAGTGATTGTTAAATGTACATATGATGTTTTTGAAGGATAATCTAAGCTCTTTCCACACCCATCCTTCAGTTTTTATGTTTGTGACATGATAATTTAAAGCAGGTATATAAATAATAACTGTTTGCAATCTTTACCCAATGTAGTTTTCCATTTATTTAGCAATTTTCAGTTTCTATTAATTTCTGGAAATTTTGTACGGAGGTACATTTAATTAACAGTTCCACCCAATAACAGTAAAGCATAGTTATAAAATGTTTCGGTACTTTGATAGATTAATAAGTTCACATTATATTCCATGATATTGGGATGCCAAATGATTAACATTATTATATAATATATAACAAATCAGACAGCAAAAAGCAAAAATTAAAAACGCATAAGCAACATAAATGATGTCAGGTAGTAAGCTTTCAATAATTACAGAAACTGCTTAGTTATCTAACTTTATGAACTAATTGCAATCTCTACAGTTTTCTTTAATCTACCCAAGAGGTGGAATCAAAATAGGTGTACAGTATATTCCGTCGGGTAACTGAAATTTGAGAAAACGTCCGTTTGGGACAACATCTGTATTCCGAATCAAAAGAGGCCATCTGACGTAGTGGTGTAACGATTCATCGATAGTATCGATGTTTGCATAGTCAACTATGCGATACGAATGCATCAATACAAAACACATTTAGGCAATACATCAGGATATTAATATCGCAAGGGCTGTGATACATCGATGTATCGCCACAAGAGACGATATATCCCGATACTACTTAAGTACTACTGAAAGTTGTAAGGAGTATTGCATTAGGAATAGGAAGGGAGTCTCTTGGAAATTCTTCTGAAGTGAACCTTGTACTGTGAGACAAACTTAAGAATAATGCCGACCTGTCATTTGAACCCGTGCATCTGAATAGCGGTGCAGTCCATTTTACCATTAAGGTGCCGAGAGTATGTAAAGCGATAAACTGTCAGTGTTGGCATTGTCTTGGTTACTGTGTAACAGTGTTGAATGTACTGGCGAATTGCGCATTTATCAAAATCATCAAATTCAATTTTCCCTTCCGTACGAGTACGCACTTTCCCTGGGCTTGTGAACTTACTGGTACCGATCGCGGGAACGCATTTACCAGGCGTGTAGCAAGCCAATTTTTGTCCTGTAAGCCCGATTAGCTGCAAAGCTGTATATTTAGTTAGTGTTGAGGCCTTGCCCAACTTTCATTTTCAAAATCAAGTCTAAGCCCGGGGCTTTTTTCATGGTGATAATTTCAAAAACCCAAATCACTTTATTAGGCATTGGGCTAAAAATGGAATTTTAACAATTAAGGACTTTTGTAATGAAGATATTTTAAGTCTTTTGAAGATCTGAAACTCAAATTTGATATTGGAGGAACATATATGGTTTTTGTAATGTTGAGAGATAAACTTTATGTCATGTATATTGGGAATGTGTTGTAACTCAAACCTTCTGGAAAGAACTTGAAAACTGGATAATTCAAAA